CAACTTTTCTAGGCAGTCATGAACAGTCTGATTCTGGCTTTAAAAAGAACAAAGAACGTATTACAGTGGCCGTTTGTTCAAATGCAACAGGGACTCACAAAATTCCTCTGTTCGTTATTGGCAAGTCTGCTAAACCACGGGCATTCAAAAACTTGAATCCATCTTCCCTTCCGGTCTATTATAAGTCACAAAAATCAGCGTGGATGAATTCAGACTTGTTTAAAGAGTGGTTTAATTTAGAGTTTGTTCCAAAAGTTAAAAAACATTTAAAAAGTGTAAACCTGCCTATCAAAGCAGTTCTAGTGGTAGACAATGCTCCAACCCATCCTCATGACTGCGATGTAGATGACATAAAATTAGTTTTTCTTCCTCTTAATGTGACAAGCTTAGTGCAACCGATGGACCAAGGAGTGATCGAAAGCTTAAAGAGACGATACAGGCGTAAACTTGTTTCTGAAATTCTGCAACATTCGGAGAGTGAAGACAAAGGTCTTTTAGAAGTCATCAAAAATATCAATATCAAGGACGTTATCTATATGTTAGCTAAAGCATTTCAAGAAATGCCCTCTTCAACGTTTGTTAAATCTTGGAGAAAACTTTGGCCAGATGTTGAGAATCTAGTTGTGATCTCGAATATTGCAGGGACTGAAGAAGAAGAAAACAAATCCACTCTACAAGACCTTCAAAAGTTATCGGGTAACGAAGCATTACAGTCAGAAGATGTGGAAAATTGGATGATAAACTGTGATGATCAGCTTGAAAATGAATTTTTGAATGATGACGAAATCATAGATGTAGCAACCAAAGAACCAGAGGAATATGATGAGAATAGTGATGTTGAAGAAGAGGAAACAGTTTCTCACTAAGAAGCCAAAAATGCAATGGAAATTGCATTAAGATACATTGAGCAGCAGCATGAGTCAACAGCATTAGACGTCCTGGTGATTAGAAAATGGAGGGATGTCACATACAGAAATTCACTGAAGGTTAAAAAGCAGAAGAAAATTAAAGACTTTTTTAAAAAATAATTACTTTTTAAACTTATACATATTTGTTGATGTATGTTTTACATATTTATTTACATATGTAATATGTAAATAAATATGTAAAACATACTTCGTAATTTTTTTTATATGTAATGTATGCAAGTAAAGTACACTTCGGATTAACTGGCCGAAACGGCAACCGGTCAGGTATGAAGTTCCCAGGTGACCGGTTAAGAGGAATTGTACTGTAATACTTGTTGGGTGCATTTAAGAATAAAATTCAGGTCGACAGCATTTACACTGATATCTCAAAGGCCTTTGAAGAAGTTAATCATAATCTTTTGGTCCACAAACTTCATGCATCTGACTTTGGTGACCCCATTGTTAATTGGAATAAAAGTTTTCTGATGGGACATACACAGCAAGTTCATAGTAACAATTATATTTCAAAAGGACTCCATTGCCATTCTGGTGCACCACAAGGGTCTCATTGTGGTCCCTTGTTTTTTAACTTATTCGTTAACTATATTGGTAAGGCTACCAAAAGTCACACTTCCTGCTATTTGCTGGATGATCTTCATGATAAATCGGATAGAGATCTCTTGCAAGATGATGTAAATAATATATGTTTATGGTTAAAACAAAATTGTTTAAACTTAAATCCAACTAAATGTTCTTGTATTTCATTTTGTCATATAAATAGTCTAATAGCTAATATATGTGTTCTTAATGATATTATTGATGTTGCCATCAATATCAAAAAAGTCACTACATATACTGGTGCAGACAATGGATCTGATCATCAACCACTCGTAGCAGATATTAAACTAAGGTTAAAACAAATTCAGCGTCAAAAACCAATGTACTTAACTTTGACAGTATAAACATAAAACAACATTAAAACAGAATTTAACAATAGAATAAAAAACGTTGGAGAACAACTAGAAGATCCAGAAGAACTATGGAGTGAATTTAAAAACCAAGTTAACAAAATCTCCACAAACAATGATTATAGAAAAAACTTAATCAAGAAAAATATTGAAATTAATGGAACAACGTCGACTGATAAAATCTAATGTAACAGAATATAGACACCTGCAGAGAAGAATAAAAAAGGAGATCAAATTGGCTAAAGAAAAATGGATGAGAGAAAGGTGTGACGAAATGGAGGATGTAATATCTAAACACAACTTATTTAATGTGCACAAAAAACTGAAAGAAATGAGTAATATATTTAAAAAACGAGTTCCCTCTGTACTTGTTGAATGGCAGCTGTATATATCAGAGTTGTTTGAAGATGACAGAAATAATATTGCTGAATTCTACCAAAACTGTACTGACGGCCAAGAAATTATGAAATGCAAAGTAGAACATGCTATAAATAATGCTAAAATTAGAAAAGCTTGTGGTCCAGATGATACACCAACTGAGTTGCTGAAACTGATAGAGAATGATAACATAAAAGTAGTAGAAGAATTCAATATATAACCCCGGAGTGATTCCCACAGATTGGCTCAAATCCATCTTTATCGTAATACCTAAAAAACACAATGCGAGAAAATTATCAGAATATCGATTAATTAGCCCAATGAGCCACAGTCTTAAAATTTTCCTCAGAATACTTCACAACAGAATTAGACGCAAAAGGCGAAGATCTTGAAGATACCCAATTTGGTTTTTTGAAATGCTATGGGAACCAGGGAGGCACTTTTTGCGCTTAACATCCTAGTACAAAAATGCCGGGACCAAAGAAAAGATGTATTTGCATGTTTCGTGGACTTCAAACAAAAAGGCATTTGATAAAGTACAGCATGTAAAATTAATGCAAATACTGAAAAATATCGGAATAAATGACAAGGATATTCATGTCATTAAAAATTTGTACTGGAATCAAACTGCTATCGTAATCCTGATCCCCATCCAAATCCCCATACAACATCCCTGAGGAGTCAGACAAGGTTGCATTTTGTTGCCAACATTGTTCAATGTTTACTCGGACCAGTTATTTAAAAAGGCACTTGAGAGACAACCATATGGAATAATAATTAACAGGGAACTACTTACTGTGATTAGATATGCAGACCATACAGTAATTATTCTATCAGATAATATTGAAGTTCTTCAAAAATTCTGCTTGATCATACTCACAAGGTAGGATAGGAAATGGGTATTAAAATAAACTCAAACAAAACCAAATTTTTGGTGTTTAGTAGTGATCCGCATCCCGATGCAAAGTTTCAATTGAATGGAGTCCAAGTTGAGAGAGTTCACAAAATGACATATTTGAAAACTGTGATAACAGACCAAATAGATCCAGACATAGAAATAAGACATAGAATAGCAATGACTAAAACTACTTTTATGACAATGAAGTCATTTCTTTGCAATAACCATCTCAGTTTAGAATGCAGGCAAAGAATGGTTAATCCTATGTTTGGTCTGTACTTTTGTATAGTGCAGAAGTGTGGACGCTAAAAGTATTGATCATGAACAAAATTGAAGCATTGGAAATGTGGGTTCATAGACGAATGCTGAAAATACCATGGACAGCAAGAAAAACTAATGAAGAAGTACTAAGGAGAGTCAACAAAGATAGAGGTGAACTGCTAAAGACTGTTAAACATCGAAAAATGTCTTATCTGGGACATAGAGTAAGGGGAACTCGATATAAAATTTTACAACTGATCCTTGAAAGGCATAAATAGAGGGCCGTAAAGGTGTAGGAAGAAAACAAGTTTCTTGCCATTTTCTTAAAATTAAGGAAACAGGATTTCATAATCTTGGTTTTATTTATCATAACCGTCATGATCTCTCACCTATTGTATTCAAATTATTGTATTGCTCTCTGATGTGCTAAGGGTTTATATACTGCTCTGTTGTTTGGTTCCCATTTCATCAAGTCTACATGAATGGATTAGAGAGTTCAGAGGAAGTTTCTAAGATCTTTAGCTTTTAAAGCACATATTAATATAAGATATACTAAAAATTATTTCATAGATTACTCTATAATAATGTCTCAATTTAACAATGCTACATTGAAGAGACATATGTTGAGAGCTGATGTTATTTTTGTTTAAAATTTTAAACAGTAATGTTAAACATCAATGTTATTAATTATCCTCCATTATTAGCCAATGTACACTTAAACACAATACATAGAACTTGACACATTGCACTATTATATATTCCTTTTCAAAGGACTAGTTATGCTCATCATTTTCCCTTGTCGAGAATACCCAGCTCTTGCAATGACCTCCTATTGGATTCACTCTGTCCAAACATGTTTGGACAAATGCCAAATGTTTTCAAAAGGCAACTTAAGAATCTAATTATTAATCTAGATGTGATTTTTTCTTAACTTTTGTGATTTAATATACTGTTCTAATGTACAAATTTTTACTTTTAACTATTTGTTGTACTTTATTGTAAATGATTATACAGTTGAAATAAATATATAATATGGAATTCAATATTAGTTTTTTTATTCCAAAGACACATGTGAAGATTGTACTGCCTACAGTAATGCTTTTGGAAGTGAAAAAGAAGTAATGAGAAAGGTATATAAAGATCACATAAACGAAATAGAATTATGATTAGAAAAATAAAAAGACCAAAATGAAGCTCAGTGTAGATCATCGTTATTTGTTACTGTTTATGATCTTCAAGCATCTTTGTCTTGCCCAAAAGGCAAAATTTCAACATTCTATCATGTCTTGTAGTAAAGTAAATGTTTACAATTTTACCATGTTCGATTTGAAAACAAAAGATGTTGAAAAACCTGTTTATTGTGGAAAATTTTATTTACAGATAAATCTTAAAATTCTCTCATAAAAAGTTAGTAAATTTTGTTTGGTTATATACTAATTTCCAGTTACAGTCATTCTGCCGAAATTCAACTAAGATTGCAAAAAATCATTACTAAATTTACCTACTACAATTTGGGACTGAGATCAGCGAACCAAATACACAATTATCATTAATTGTACCAATTAATTATCAAAAAAACATGCTCACCTTTTTAGCAGAAGCACCAACTTTAGTCTTTTTGGTACCCCTGACTTTTTTCATTCTGTTCTTACGTTCTTTACGTTGTTTTCTTGTTTGTTGTTTCTTTTCATAGAGACCATGCCTTGCTAACCTATGTTTAGGTTCGAATTTTTTAGCGAAATCTAATGTATCATAAATTAAACCAAATCCCGTGGATTTACCACCTCCGAAGTTTGTCCTAAAGCCAAAGACGAAGACTACATCTGGGAGAACCTAAAAGCATTATCATATACTGATGAATTAATATAATATGGATTAGCAGTCGAACTTATTAAAACTGTATTTGAAACTTACTTTATAAATTTTAGCTAACTTTTCCCTTATTTCAGTTTTCTTAACTGATGGTTGACCTGGATGTAAAACATCAACAACCATTTGTTTTCTAGCCAACAATCTGTTGGTCATGAACTTTCTAGTTCTAATAGTAGCTGTACCTTCCGTCTAAATTGAAATAAAATTAGTATATAATCCATGGGAGTGAGTTGTATACAAAATGAATTCAAACAAAAAAGCTATTTCACAAATTCATGTATACTTCAGCTGCTGTAAAAATAAAAATTAAATTGCATTTAAGTAACACCCTTTTTTTGTGAGCTCCACAATTTCAAATACTCAAAAGTTACAAAACTGTCACCTTCCAATCCACAACTATGATTAAAAAAAAAACTATCAAGCTCTGTTAAAAGGTTAAAAATATGGACACAATAGCTTTAACCGCTTAATGATTTACTAAAAATTACCACTATATTTGTGAAATAACTTTCGATGTTTTCATTTATTTTCGGATTTTTATTAACCTACCATTTTGACTAAGATAGATCACTTCACAAAAAGAGCGCTCAAACGGGAAAGGTGGCGGTTAATCAAACTATAAACATAAACATGTGCTTCCTAGAGTAAGCTCCGAATATCCATTGTAGTCGTGTTCCGATTTATAAATGATCTTTAATATTTGTAATTTTATTTTTTGTTATAATCTTTTTTACAATGTTTGTTATATATTTATTATTTTCGTCATTTATAATCTTTTCTGTTGTGGTTATAACACTGTCTTGACAATTAACATTGGTGATTTAGAATTAACACCTTCGTTGTGCCACCAGCAGCTAAAAGACGTAAGTAATAGTAAGTACGTTTACGTAGACCACGAATAATAATAAATAAATATGCTCTGAAACTGTTTTCTTGTGTCATGTCTAAGTTAATTATTATGTTTAACTGGTATTAAATCTCAATTGTTTCAATCAATCGGGGAAGCCAAAACCATTATGCAATAAAAAAACCCAGACTGTAACGAAAATTAAATTTTTTAATTATTAATTTGACGATTCGATTACACTTCGGAAATCGTTTTCAAATAAAGATTATTTTAAAATAGTGAGCTGTTAATATAAAGGCTGATTTATAAACTTTATGTTGGCGTTGGCGCTGTCGCTGACGTTCGCGTTACAACATGGTCAAATGGGAAACTCATATATCGATTTATAAACATCATCCCCCGTTGGCGTTGGCGTTCGATTTCGTTCAAGATGAACCAACTTTATCTTTTGCCGTTGGCCTATGATACTATAACAAAACAAGATAAGTCAACGCTCGCCCATTTTAATAGAACTTGAAGTAATACTTTATTTTTGATAGGTCTTTAAAAAAAGTTACTTTGGATGTATGTAGTGAACTGGAACATATTTTTCGTAGTATGGCGACACATTAAAAATAACAAAAAATTGTTTAAAAAACTTAATAGAAGCTGCAAAATATGTAAATGTTAGCGAAGATGTAAAATTACTTTTTTTAGATGTAAAATGTATTTTAAAATACAAATTCTAAATCAAAATATTAAAATAATTACAATACTACAAAAGAAAAATCACAAATATTGTAAAATAAATGTCTAAATAATATTCATAAAGTCTCAATGACCCGCTTTTCCTTTATGGTCAAATTCTTTACATTTTGCCAGCCTTTAATATTTAATTTATGTTTTGTAGCAATATTTATTTTGTTAAGACAACATCAGAGACACGTTTTTACAGAAAGTAACTTGTTATGACTTATTAGTGCAAGATATGACATCGAGGTATACTTACCTTTAACAGTTTAAGCACAGAATACTAAGTTGTGATTAGTGTTCTGTTTGAAGTTGTTCATTACAGTCAGATAAATTTACCTAGATTGGTAACAGAGGGCGCGTTCAGCAGACGGAGCAGCTACCGCTCCGCTACTTCCGAATCCATCGGTTTGCGCTGGACCAAATGTCATAAGTCAAAACCTGCTGGATTCCGCTACCGCTACCTTATCTGTCAATGTCAAATAATTTGTCATTTTAAAATTAGATATTTTGTTTACGTTTTAGATTGCCAATTTAGCTTGACTTTTAAATATTATTAAACTTTACGTCACATTACTAGCGGGCAAGGAAAATAATATCCAGCTAATTGGAAATGTTGTGGATCAGTTGGCACAAAATGAAGAATTAGAGCTGAATAATGCTGAGAGAGCTCAAGTGCCTCCTAATCAAAATTTTTATGAGGAAACCATTCCCCAATATATGGGAAATGGGAGATCTTTTTGTAAAGCATTTTCGCATGAGTAGGGAATGTGCTGAAGTAGGTTTTAGTAAAGATTATTAGTTCTTTGAAAACTACATATAAATATTTTAGGTAATTACTCAGCAACTAGGAAATTTAGGAGTTATACCCATTGGAGCTACAATTCCTTTAGATAAAAAAGTGCTGTTCACCATCTGGGTTTTAGCTAAACCAGAATCTTTTTTAGCCTGTGGCGACAGGTTCAATATAGCCAAGAGTACAGCCCATAGTATTTTTAAAGAAATTGTGTCAGCAATATTCTTATTAATGCCTCAATATATAATGTGGCATTAGATAACCACAATGAAGCAATAATGGTAATTATAGACTTTGATCCACAGACTTTCTGAAAACTGAAGATGAAACACAAAGAATGGGCAAACTTACCTCAAGAACAAGTTGATGCTTTGATTAGAAGCATTCCCCATCAGATTGAAGCTTGTATTAGAGCTAGAGGTGATAACACTGACTATTAAAATGAACAACAATCTTTCTTTAGTTGACCATTGCAATGTTTTCATTTGTTCGTATTTTTGTTAATTTAAAGCATTTGTAACATTTTTTGATTGTTTTTTTTTTATAGTAATTTAGCTGGTAGTATAAAATGTAGTTCATTTTCATAAATTTCAATTTCATGAATTAAAAAAAATTTAGTAATACTTTACAAAATCAGAAATACTGGGTGATTCCATGTGTATATTATTGATTTTTATTAATTATTATTGATGTGTGTATATTATTAAACTATATCCCATATATTTCTTGACAACTTTTCTCCATCTTCTTTAAGAGGTGATGATTTAATTTACTATTTTTGCCCAGGTCTATGTACAGTTGACTTGTTTGCATCTGTAGGTAATATAAATAATATTAAAAAATAAATAAATATAAATAAAATTCGCAACCCCCTCTGTGGCTCAGTGGTAAGAGCGCCTGCCTTTAAACCTAAAGGTCGTGAGTTCGAATCCCACCTGGGTGGAAATTTTCGTTTATTAAAAAAATTAATAAATGAAAATAATTTCTATCCTTGTGTGATCGGTACACACCGGAGGGACCGCAGACATTCGGATACAATTAGCGTCTCTTAGCAAAGACAATGACGTCGACTTTGCTAAGTATCAAGACAATTACTCTACACACACACACACACACACACACACACACACACACACACACTACACCTTAAATTGCAAGATTGGCGAATGGATTTAGTGTCCGCAATCATTTAAACACAAACAAAACAAAAAACAAAAAAAAAATAAAATTTGGTTTATATGTGCAGCTTGTTGGGACTCAATAAAGAGTACTTACTCTACCAAGACCACCTTGAACATCTAAGAATGGCTATATATGTACCACTGCCAATGACATTCTTGCATTTTCCATTTTTTAAATACTCTCTTAATCAACTTAGAATGCTGATGGTATAATTAGTCTTTTATTGTATGGATTAGTATATATTTTCATGTATAAATAGTAGATGTAAAATTAATGAAGTTAATATAATTAAGATATTGTTAATTGTGTGTGACTGTATGCAGAGAGATTTGGCTTCAAACCTATGTTCATTAGCCACAAATCATATCAATAGCATATTAACTTTTAATTTAATGTATTGTATTATATGTACCTACTTTTAAAGAGTTACCATATGCATAAGCTAGGATTTGCACAGATTCTATTAAGCATTAACCAGGTATAGTCTTGTAGTGTACAAAAAGTGTGGTATATATATGCAGTATTTGTTTTCTCTAATATTTACCTAAATGTTGCAATATTTAATGAGTTGTCAAAATTTAGATAGCCTCATAAGCCTTAGTTTCCTATTATTCACTATCATTATGTACCATGCAACAGCACGGAGTATGAAGGAGAGTAGTTCTTCTGTGATTTGGGTATTGAGATATATCTCGCTTTTTATGTATGGTGCAAGTATTCCAATCACTGGGGAGGGACTGGTGTATATAGATCTGCTGGAAAATTAGCTACTCTTGACCCAATTACTACCTTATAAATATTTTTACTTGTTAATTGAAAAATATGACAGACCCATATTTTATATTTGATGCCATTCAATCTAGTGTTATAAAACATTATAAAAGAGAGTGTTAGTTTTAGGTAGTTAGAATCAGTATTACAGAGTTATTAGGATGTAAATGTAAGTAATAGAATTAAAACAGTATGGATGAAATAAGTGGAGTTCAGTGTGATGGAAAAATACTAATAAAGCTAATAGGTAAACTCAACAGGACCTATTTATTATTAAATATATTGTTGTATGTAAAGTGCAGATACAAAGAGAAGTCTCAGAGTCATTTAAAACTAACTGAGGACTGCTTTGGGAGATGCACTATCATGCTTGGTATTCAACCTACTGTTAAATGCTGCAGAAAATCTTGGAAGGAGGTGACTGAAGTGTTGTGATAAGGATAAGAAGGTACCAGTAAAACTTAAGGACAGGCTCTATAGTACTGTCTTGAGACCAGCCATTATATATGGTACTGAATGTTGTACAGTAAATAGGAATAAACAAAAATTACATGGCTGAAATGAGCATGCTTCATTGGGTGAGTGGAGTAACTAAAAAAGATGAGGTGAGGAATGAGTATTTAAGAGTAAGTTTGGGTGTGGCTTCTATTAACAAAATGAGGGAACATCTATTAGTGGCAAAAAGGCAAATATAATGATGATACTTTTAAATATTTTGGTTCATTAATATTTATGTTATATTTACAAACTTTTCTTACTTGGCTTATAAACACTGTCCTCTGTAAAATCATTAATTTTAATAAAACAAAAGCTACTAAAAATATATCATTTTATTTACATTATACATGTTTTATTTACAATGCTATAAATGTAGTTAATACAATAAACTGATTTGGAAGAAGAATATATGAATAGTACAATAACAAAAAAATAACATATACAGTCACATCAAGATAACAAATTCAGAAAAAGTCACAAGGTCTAATGGTATTAAGTTATCTAATGCATGTAGGTAATGTAACACTAAACACAATACAAAAGCTGAAGTCTAAAGTATTACAAAGTTGGATCAGAATTATCACTTTTGAAGGGGAAAATTAATAGATTAAAAATTTGGAGCTTCTTTGAAGAGTTAGCTAATAGAAGAGTTCTGAGAGTAAAGTTGTTATATGAGTAATTGAATATGAAAAGAACATAAAAAGTCTGCACATACCTAGTTACAATATTGGATACTAATAAAAAAATATTTTGGAGAGA